AAACTCGCTTATATGCAACACAAACAATCCAAACACGTCAAGGGTTATATACAAAAATTATACTGTATTATTTATATAGATATAATTATTTATTTTACACAACAATAAACACATAAACCTGTGAGTAAACAACTAGAACTGGCGCGCATGCGCAGTTGAGGATTTTTTTGTCTTGCAAGTATGCAAAAGATAACGAACACGCTTTACTTTTATATTACAGCTGAAATGTCAGCATAATTTTTCCAATAACTATCTGTTTATACTATTATAAATGTGTACATCATGCTCAAAAGGTATGTTGTGCTGAAATTATCTTCGTCTAGCAGTAGTCATCTTTATTCGCTGGCCTTGAGGACAAAGACCAAGCGGCAACCTCCCGCTTTCTCTCGTGAAGCCAACACGGAAGTGACTTAAACTGTAATTCATCAACTGGCGTTCGTCTGCCTTGGGAAAGCTAGCGTGTCTCCGACATAGTGATAACACTCGTTGCCTTCTCTAGTGCAGCTCAACCAGGTCTCGTCCCATTCGTCGATATTTGTGATATCACAAATCCCGGAAAATATGCATTGTAGTCCAAACGAGTCGTTCGTTGTAGTTTTTGAAAAGTGATTTCTGTTAAATAAAATATCTCCTTTTGAAGTGGACTTTGAGCTTTGTAACTTTGCAGATATTTTTTATGCTCAAACAGCAACATTACAGACTAACTAATGTTGAAAAAGTGAAAAAGCATAATAGGACCCCTTTAAGATTAGCTAGAGGCTTTGTGCTAGCTAAGCATCAGTCTCTAATGTTATATATCAATAAATATCGATACTATTACAATGATAACGTGTCCTAAATATTACCAGGAACAAAGAAATGTAATTTCCAGTGCATCCGTTTAAAAATGATCCGTCTGGTTGCTCAGTTAGGTCTCTTTTTTTGCGTTTATTTCTAATAACTAGCTGACCAGGCTAGTTGAACATAAAACTCATTTAAAAAATTCATGAAAATTAATTAAAGTAAATCAAGTGTTATTGCGTATATTAATGCCTATATACTATAACCTGTATTATAGTTTATGTGTTTGTATAATTATCTGACGTCAAACTGTTGCAGTTAATTTTAGTTGAATCCATCATATATATATATATATATATATATATATATATGCAAGAATTTAGTTTAAACGTTTCAATAAATGCCAAGTTAATTTAAAGCGACCCAGAATTTAACAAAACGTCTTTTGCATCTTCACACTTCTACAAAAGCCTCTGGTCAATATGTACTTCACTACTGTAGGTTTCATCACCCACTTTTGTCATCATAAATGACGTTTTGTTGACCTCTGTGTCGCTGCAGTAGCTGTTGTTGAAGTCTGTTAGTCCCCTCAGAAAAAGCTATTTTTAATAAACAGTAAATACTATCCTGAGGCATATCTTTAATATTGGGAATAGAAGTTTATCACAGTTTATTATGTCTGTGTGATGTTTTTTTTTGTGTTTGTTTTTTTGCAGTGTGTTGCTCATCTGTTTCTTTATACTACGTTTGAATGAAGGTAAGCACATACAATTGCAGATATTTGCTTGAATTGAGTTTTAAGTCAGTCTTTCACATGTTCCTGGTCTGTCTTTGCTTTAGTTTCAGCATCTGCGCAGGAAGTAGTTCAGGGTTTTATTGGAGGTTCTGCAGTTTTGCCGTTCCATCCTGGGAACAGAACACTTACAAACATCACTGCACACTGGAGATATGAGGACAGGAAGAATGTTTATGACATACTAAATGGCCAAGGGATGACTAAGGAGCAGGACCCAGAGTACAAGGGCAGAACTGAAACGTTCCCTGCAGAGTATTCGAAAGTAAACTTCTCCCTCAAGCTTGGGAATCTTCAGAAAAGTGATGAAGGGTCGTACTGCTGCTTTATCCCTGAGTTTGTTCTCAATGAATGCATAAATCTTCAAATCAAAGGTGTGATGAAATGGTTGCTATAATTTGCTCCTAAAAATCAATGATTGGTATTTAAGTGTGAAGTAAGGTGAAATGTGTATTTCTTTCAAATGTTAAAACATTTTCTCTTATCCCATTTTTTTGTTTTAAGTAGTCCTACACATAATTCCTGCCTCGACCAATGGTGTGGGTTGGGGGTGGGGCTACCTGTAATAAACCGTTTAGTTAAGAAGTGTATTATGACCAAGAAATTAAAAAGAGCAAGTTTTGAACTAGACCCAAAAATAAAACAAAAAACAAAAGTCCCAAAACAAAACTATTCACAAAAACACAACAAATATGTATAATAAACATATTGTAGGAAGAAAAACTAATTTGACAAACAAAATAACAAATTCTAAAACAAAACAACAACAAATAATAATAATAACAACAACAAAAAAAACAGTCTGACAAACAACCAGATTATAAAACAAAATAACCAGTCGGACAAACAAAATAGCAGATTATAAAGCTAAATAAATTCTAAAACAAAATAACAAATCTGGCTAAATTAATTTTAATACAAAATAACAAATTCTAAAACAAGTCTGATCAACAAAACAAAATATTATAAAACAAAATAACAGATCTAACAAACAAAATAGCAAATTCGAAAACAAATCTAACAAAATAAAAGATTATAAAACAAAATAACATAAAACAAACAAAATAAATTCTAAGACAAAATGACTAAATACATGTTTAATAATAACTAAAAAATAACAGGTTCTAAAACAAAATAGCAGATTATGAAGAAACCTAAATCTGGCAAACTAAATGTTGTCTTACAAACAAAATAATGCCCATAACAGTAAACAATCAAAACTAAATCTGAAATCCAAATGTGAAATCAGTCAGTAACAACTCAAAATACATTTGTCTAGGTGATTGGGAAACCTGTTCGGAAACAAATGATTATTCTTGAACTTTCGTTTGATATCATTTGTGGCACAGAAATTACACATTTCACCTTTAGAGTTTGAGTGCATTTCCTGATGATTTTCCACACTGTGAAGTGCAGTGAGTGTGTACTAGCCTACATGCTACTCTTTTTCATTCTTCTTTCATTGTTTTTTAGTATTAGAGAAACCAAGAAAAATCCAAAAGCCAGGCTCAAACAGTGGAGGTGAAACCCCAGCAGGGAGGATTGCATTGTTAATTCCTCTCTTCTCTGCTACTGTTCTGCTCTGTGTGTGAGTGTTGACTGCATATAGTTCAGCAGTGTGTGCTTTAATTGCAGTGAGCTTTGACTTTGCAATATTATTATTTTCTACTCCGTACTTACTGGACCACATAGGAACCACAGAATTACACTGCATTGTGTCTTAGATATAATATATGACAACCATTTGGACACACTCACACACACACACACACCTCATATTACATGTCAGGCCTGTTATAATCAGGGTAGATGCCATAAGTACAGTCTGTTCACTGGCCTCTACTGTAGTGGATTTGATTTGGATTCAGACTTTAGATTCAGTCATTCAGCTTGCAAAACATTGCAAATGTGTCTTTCCAGATAAGTTACAATGGACAAAAACAATAAACGTAAAATGACATTAATTAAGAAACAACCTCTTTTGCATTTACATTAAACATAAAATAAAATGTTGCGCATACCCTGACAGGCTCTATAACTTGCGTTTTTTTCAGGAATCTTGAAAGTTTGATGAGATGAGATTGAAGTGGATTGTTTACTAATCTATTTACTAGTTGTAAATACCTCTCCTGCACCAGGCAGATCAGTTGCACTAAAATGTATGCATTAGCTGTATTTATTTAATTTAAAATAATAGTATTTGTATTTAATTTAATTTAATGTCATATTTGAGTTACAAAATGTAATTTATTTAATATATTTTATTTTAGGTGTTGAATTGATTTAACTGTTGTATTAACTCTGTTGTGTAACAGTGCTGTGCTGCCTGGAATAGTGCAAATAAATTTGTTCTTGGAAAGATATGCTTGATGTTTTGATTAAATGAGATGCGTAAAGGTAAATTTTGCTCTAAGCATGTCTTTGAAAAGCAAAGACATAATTCCTCTGAAAAGCAGTGGAATTATGAGTGATATTTTGGCTAAATACCAACTGCTTATTCAGGAAGAGGCTGTCTGACCGACATCTAAACCTAAAATTTTTATTTTACGGGCTGCTGAGGGTAATTGTACAATGCCACGGTAATAGTCTCATGTCTAGATGGAAGCTCCACATTTGCATAATTTTTTCCTTGCTCCTCTTTTCATTTTATCCTTCTACCTTAGCTATTATGCAGATGTTTTTATCCATCAATCTGTTCCACAACTGAAACTGTCCAATCAAAGGGGGGTTACTGAGATAAAAATACGTTTATCTGGTCATGTGATCTCAACATGGCAGCCTCCATTGGGCAACCTCTCTTGTAGTAAAGCAGTTTTTCTGATAATAGCGTACATTATTTTACGTTTTAAAATATTTGTCAAAACTACTCTTTTCTTGGTGCACCTTCTCTACATGGGTCAACATATATCAGTATTTGATATTTGATGAAAGTGCTATGTGGCAATTTTTGATAAACATTCAGTGTCATTTAAGTATCACTGGTATACTATTATTAATTAGTTTTATTCATATTTTGAATATTCATAAATATTTTTAGTTTTTTTAAATTTTCAGTTTTCATTTTAATTTGAAAGTTTTAGTACTATGTGTTTGTCATTGTTAATGTTTTTTTTATTTTTCATATATGTACAAATTCCAATTAAAAGGAGAAATGTTGCTCTGGCAACTAGCTGTATTTATTCAGATTTTTTTTAAATTTTCAGTTTTCATTTTAATTTGAAAGTTTTAGTACTATGTGTTTGTCATTGTTAATGTTTTTTTATTTTTCATATATGTACAAATTCCAATTAAAAGGAGAAATGTTGCTCTGGCAACTAGCTTTAATAAAAACAGTTTTCATATTTTATTTCAGTTAACGTTTATTTTATTTGTAATGCAAATGTTTCATAACTTACATTTCGTGAAAAATTCGTAAAATTTACCCACAATGACAATTCTTAATGTAAAGATACTTGAAAATGTACTTTGGCTGATTGAGCAGATCTAAACTCAACCCTGCAACACTTAAAAAACTAAACAAATAATTGTTCAGATAAACGGCAGAATGTGAGTGAAAAGAAAACTGATCAACAACACAATCAATGATGGTTCTCCATGGTTTCCTTTTCCTTCTGGTTTATCTGTGGGCCAAAACGACAATGGCAAAGTTTGTAACATTAGTTTGATCAGTCACTAACAACTGCAGACTAACATTCAGAATTTTAAACCACAATCATGGTTTTTCAATGAAACTCAGATTATACACACCTTTGACATGAAGCTCTGTGATGACCTCTTTCTGAAATGTGTCGTGTGATGTAATGTCCCTTGTGATGCTACAGCGGTACTTCCTTGCATCAGTTTGCTGAAGACTGCTGAGTTTGATGGAGAAGTTGCCCTTCTTATACTCCTCTGGGAACGTTTCGACTCTGTCCTTGTACTTTGGCTCTTGGTCTTCAGCTATGCTACCTCCAATGATGTCACACACTTTCTTGCCTTCATCGTCTCTGAAGTGTACGTTGAATTCTTCTATTTTGTCTTGAATCTCACTTTCAGTGATCGAACAAGACAAGATCGCAGAGTCTCCAACAAAACCTTTAACTGTGACCCTCACAGGAGCAGAGAAAGCACCTAAAAACAGCAAACACACCGTTCATCATTCCGCATGTGACATGAAGTTTCATTTAAAATGTTTAAAATCTCACCTGTGATATACAGCAGAAACACAGAGATGATGATGATTATGCACCAACTGTAGAAAGAGAAGATAAAAAGACATCAACAGTTTGCTAACCTACTTTTAGCCCCCATATCTCAGCAATATTCACACTTATTGCAAAGCAACTGGATCTACCTCTCTAGTCGACACTGTGAATCATGTTCTTCCTGTCATTCAAGAAAGTCTATCTCTCGTCTATAATTTGTTTGAATAAAACATGGACCAACGTAGGACCTAAAATGAGCTTTTTACTTAAAAGGTCCAGAAATAATAAAAAATGAATTATTATTTTATTCATTATTATTATTAATAATAGTGTACACTAGGAAAAACAGCAAAAATTTGATCCACACACCTAATTAGTCCATTCTCTCTTTGACCTACTGCACTGTAAAGCTCGACCGAACTACATTCAAGCCTTCTAACCAATCGATTTTCTAAAATCTCGTCTACCAATTTTAGACAATGGGGATATTCATATATTTATCTGTAATGAATGTAATTCATGCTACCTAATAGACAATAAATTATATTTTACAAACAATGTAGCTGTTAGCTTCATGCTACACTAACGATAGCGCATGGCGTTGACAATCTCAATCTTTTGTCTCAAACATACCTCTGTCCCATGGTACTTTTTTTTTTTCAGACGAAGCACTGAAATGTAAACGTGGCACTTGAACAATTTCAACAATGAAAACAATTTCTTAATGGCAACTAGCGGCGACTAAGTTACCAAAAATGGTTGCTGAGTCATATGTACGGATATGACGTTTTACAGGTAGCTAGAGACGGAAGTACTGTATATATTATGTACTTTTTGATCTGCACAATGCTTTCCAAAAGGCATTTGAGAGGACACTTACAGAAACTGTTTGTTGTTGTTTTTTTATACTATTCAAAAATATTTTTATGATATTTTATTTAATTACTATACAATATTGGCCAATCAAATGTTACAAACAAGGCAGAATAACCTATCAATATCACTGCTCACAGAATCAACCCACCAGTTTTCAGACTGAATAAATGTAATACAGTACAACTAACACTTTGCCGATGTTTACACACCTTTGATGAAAAACTGGCTCGACTAGTGAAGACCCTTCTTGGTCCTGATTTGGCCCTCAGGCAAAATCTTGCCTTGCATTACCACATTTTTTTGTTTTTGAAGAACGCATCATAGGAATTCCATTTTTAAGATTCCATTATGGGAGCGTTCAGTCTTGTTCTTCAAGTTCCTCATAGTGATCTGCAAATAATGAATAGAAAAAAAAATAAAATAAAGATTTACACAGAACGTTTGATACTATTTATTTATTTCTTTATTATTTATTTATTTTATTTTACAGTTTGCCTTCAAAATGTTTATTTCCAGCATAAACACCGATGACAGCAACAGAAATACAAAAAAGAATATGCTAAATAACTCACTGCTCGCTTCCTACTAAACAAAATAACAACTCTGATAACAACTGTGAGATCTAGAGCTTACCTTGAGGTAATTCACTTTTTTAGTGTCCTGCTTCTTTCTCTTTTTTCATGTGTTCCTGTCAGAGTTTTGACAGACTGTACAGCTGATGAGAAAACACAAAGAATTTATCTTGTTGTTGGGAGGAGCAGAATCCACCTGTGACATTCCAAGTCACCATTCTACATACAGTACATTATATACTATACTTGATTTTTAAATACCAGTTTATTGGGTACTTTATGATATATCATTGACATTGTTTTTAAAACTATATTCCAAGAATAAGGCAGAGAAAAAAAAAAAAAAAAACTTGCTCCGCACTCCACTCAGTAGTGCAACCGTGACAGAATACCGGACCAAGAAAAAAGATGGCTGCAGCTGAGGATGCACTGTGGGGTTTGCGGCAGGGGGGTCTGAGGTTGGAGCGATATGTGGAGTGTTTTCTCGAGCTCTCTAACCGGGTGAGCTGGCACGACGCCGTTTTGCTCCGCATGTGCCCTCCTTGCCCATATTTGGTTCGTTTCCTGTTCCTGTCCTGATTATGTTGATTTAATTCCAGGTGTTCCCCATTTATTTCCATTGATCCCAGGTGTGCCTCGTCATCCCCTCGTCTTGTCATGTGTTTAAATAGTGTTCCCTGTTTTTAGTTCAGTGTCTGGTATTGTTTATGTCTTCATGTGCTACGTGAGTTTTCCTTGTTCCTTGTTATAATTAATGTTCTCTGGATTGATGTACCTCTCGCCGTGCCTTGCTCCGCACTCCACTCAGTAGTGCAACCGTGACAGAATACGGGACCTAAAAAAGATGGCTGCAGCTGAGGACGCACTGTGGGGTTTGCGGCAGGGCAGTCTGAGTTTGGAGCGATATGTGGAGGGTTTTCTCGAGCTCTCTAACCGGGTGAGCTGGCACGACGCCGCTCTAGGTGCGTGCTTCCTGCTGGGGTTGGATGACGAGATAATCCGCTGCGATCTTCCGATGTGTGATTTTTCCCCTGATCGAGCTGATTAATCTCGTGCTGTTCTTAAATGGTTCTGATTTCGAAGTGGAAGAAGTAAAGAAACTTCCCAAGCCTCGTCATCCAACTCCCACTGGAACGTGCCGCGTCTCCCCAGCTCACACCACGCCGAGAACCTCCACATACCACTCCAATGGCTCCCACCACCTGCCCAACCCCAAATTCCCCGCTGTCCTCCGAAGCTCCACCCTAGTCGTCAGCCCAGTACGGCCGGCTGCTCCCCAGTCAAGCCCGCCAGTGTTGGCTCTCTCCTGCCCGCCGGCCATTCCGATGTCAAGCCCACCGGCCGCTCTGAAGATCGGCCTACCGCTGCAAAGGCCACCATTGACGCAAGCCCGCTGGTCACCGCAACGACAAGCCCAACGGCTGCCCAGTTCCCCCGTAACCAAAGGAGGAGGACGAAGAGGAAAAGGACTGTTCTCTGCCTTCATCCTAGCCCCAGAGCTCGCTCCAGTGTCGGCTCCGGCCCCAGAGCTCGCTCCAGTGTCGGCTCCGGCCCCAGAGCTCGCTCCAGTGTCGGCTCCGGCCCCAGAGCTCGCTCCAGTGTCGGCTCCGGCCCCAGAGCTCGCTCCAGTGTCGGCTCCGGCCCCAGAGCTCGCTCCAGTGTCGGCTCCTCGAAAGCTTCTGCTGTGCCTGCTCCTCCAGAGCGCCATCCAGTGCCAGCTCCTTGTAAGCACTTCCCAGTTCTCGAGTCTAGCCCAGGGAGGGCTCCGGATCCCCCGTTGAGCCCAGGGAGGGCTCCAGTCCCCTGTCAAATTAAAGTTTGGATGATGGATTGATGTAGTCCTCGTCTCCCTCCGTTCCTTGCTCAGCACTCCACTTAGTAGTGCAACCGTGACAGATAAAGTCAGCATATTGCTTTTTCTACATCAAACTGCTGAGTGGTGTAACCAAATGTCAAAATTTAGAAGTTTGTGATTCATGTAATTTTCAAAAGAAATGCTAATCTGACAATTCACAAATATCAGTTTAATTCATCTCATTTCCTCTGGACATTCATTGAAAAAAATCAAATGATGAATTAATTCTGGAAATGGATCTACTGATGAAGTATACAGTATAATGTTTCCCAAGAGTCCTGTTTTTATATAACGCATGTTTGTCCATCCATCACTGTAAAAATGTTAACAGAACTAACAAATTTAGGACAAAATGCTGCCATTTGGATGAAAAAGAGATTTATTGGATGCTACTAAAACTATCAAATCGTCCCGTTATGATATTGCGGTTATTAACTCCTTTTTAATAATACGATGCAAGTTTCAAACCCAAATATTCAGTGCAACCTAAACATCATCTATCCATAAATGCCACTACTGATGAGTTAGGCGTTTATTACTGCATGACCACAGAGGCACCTCCAAAATTCAGCAACGGTAACAGACTTCACATCACTGGTGAGTGAGCATTTAGTAATCAGGCCATATAAATATTCAGTGCTTTCAATGTATGGCTATTTATTTTACAGAACTAAATTACCTGAGTGCCAGAATCACACTGTGGTGAAGTATGTTGAGCAGAATCATACGGTGGTGAATTATACTGACCAGATTTAGAGACCATTATTATTATTATTATTATAAATTGGCCTGAGATCTGTTATAAATGTTTATTCGTTAATTTATATGTCACGTACAAACTTGTGTTGCGGTGTAATTTAATTCTGTCTCTAAGCTTTAATTCTGGTATAGTCTGCAGTTAATCAAGTAGGGCTCTTTGTGGTCCCACAGTCACATATGTTTGCATCAATCAGTGGTGGGCGATTGTGCTGATTTTTTCAAAATCAAATTAGTCACAGTATTTTTCTACTTAAATGCAACACCAATAAAATGACGCTTTGATGTATATTTATCCATTTATTACCATGGTTGACAATACACTGTTAACGGCAAACATGATACTGACATACAATTACAAACACTGTTTATGCAAAATTGGGCCATGATTAATACGAATGAATGTATATGAATCTTAATTTATTTTAATTTAATTCAAGAGTTTTTGTAACAGTGGTCACAACTGTGGTTTCAACTGAAAGAAGAGTTTATAGTTTTACATATGAATGAATACAGGAGGCAAAAAAAAAATAATAATAATAATAATTGTGTAAAGTCTTGTGAAGGGTGGTGTCACAAATTCAGCCTCTGTGGCTCCCTCCGATCACCACCATAGGGAACCATCACCGGAGTACTGAGCGATCCTTTCGGACTCCAATTCCCACTATGCCCCATGCCAGAGACTAATCACCTGCACAGGTGTTTCCTATTGCCCGGTCTAATTAAACTGTGCCTTCCCTGCTTTTATTGTTTCCCTGTGTTGATTACCTGGACTGTTTACCCGTTTACGATTGCTTGCTGCCTACCTCTTCTGACCCTGCCTGCCTTGTTGATTCATGCTGTTGTTTGTCTGCCGCCTGCCTCGACCCTGATCACGAACACTGTTTACGATTCTGCCCAGCCTTCGTTGTGTCTAACACCAGTTACCGATCTATGCCTGTATGACCTGCCTTGTGAACCAATAAAGCTGCATATGGATCCTAACGCCACTGCCCCTTTGTTACAGG